AGACGGAGGAAAAAAAGGAGAACAAAATTCAAAACCAGAAAAGACCAGACTCACTGATTTGAAAGAGACTAATGGAAGGACGCCCACCACTGACTGTTGCTATTAGAGAGCCTTCAAACCTGGGATTGAATCCACCCTCACAGGTCAACTTTCAGCTACACCATCAAACCAAACCCATTGCCATCAAGTTGATTCTGATTCATAATGACCTTAGGGCTTCCAAGACTATAAATCTTTATGGAGGTGGTTAGCCTCTGCTTTGTTCCATAAAGTGGCTGGTGGGTTAGAACCAACAACCTTGCAGTCATCAACCCATTGACTAACAGCACCAGTGAATGTACTCAATAAAATCAAACATAAAAACCCAAAGGACAGCATTTGCTCCCCCAAAAGCTCAGATGGCAGAAAAGACATGTGAATAGAAACAAAATAGAAAGGTGTTGTATTGAAGGGATGGCAAACAATGTCTAAAACAAAATATGTATAAATTACTCAATCAATGGAGAACTAATACATCTCAAACTTTCACCCAGTCAACAATGAAAAAGAATTTTAAAAAGATACATACTATAGATCTAACATTTACAAATTTGAATAGTTAGATGAAATGAACAAATTCATATAAAAAGGCACAACTGCCCGCATATCAAAAGATATAGCGTCTGGAGTTGTAAAGGCTTGCATGTAAACAAGCAGCCATCTAGCTCAGAAGCATCAAAGCCCACATGGAAAAAACACACCCAGCCTGTGTGACCAAGAGGTGTAGAAGGGACCAGGTATCAGACATCAAAGAACAAAAAATCATACCAGTGGGTGCCCACCATCCCGATATGATCACTGAAAACAAATGTGTGCATAAGCAAATGCGGTGAAGAAAGCTGATGGTGCCTGGCTATCAAAAGATATAGCACCTGGGGTCTTAAAGGCTTGAAGATAAACAAGCGGCCATCTAGCTCAGAAGCAACGAAACCCATGTGGAAGACGCACACCAGCCTGTGTGACCACAAGCTGTCAAAGGGATCAGGTATCAGGCATCAAAGAACAAAAAAATCACATCATTGTAAATGAGGGTGAGTGTAGAGTGGAGACCCAAAGCCCATCTGTAGGCAACTGGGCATCCCCTTAAGAAGGGTCATGGGGAGGAGACGAGCCAGTCAGGGTGCAGGGTATCAAAGATGAATCATACAACTTTCTTCTAGTTCTTAAATGCTTCCTCTCCCCACTATCATGATACCAATTCTACCTTACAAATCTGGCTAAACCAGAGGGTATACATTGATACAGATAGGAACTGGAAACACAGGGAATCCAGAACAGATGATCCCTTCAGGACCAGTGAGAGTGGCGATATCTGGAGGGGAAGGGGAAGGTGGGTAGAAAGGGCGATACCTGGAGGGGAAGGGGAAGGTGGGGTAGAAAGGGTAGAAAGGGTTACAAGGATCTATATATAACCTCCTTCCTGGTGGATAAACAACAGAAAAGTGGGTGAAGGGAGACGTCGGACAGGGAAAAATATGACAAAATAATAATAATTTATAAATTATCAAGGATTCATGAGGGAGGGGGAGCCAATATTAAGGGCTCAAGTAGAAAGCAAATGTTTTGAGAATGATGATGGCAACAAATGTACAAATGTGCTTGACACAAGGAAGGAAGGAAGGAATGGGAAAAAAAATGGGCCAAGCCCCAAAAAAAAGAATTAAAAAAAAAAAAGGCACAACTAAAAAAACTTATACAACACCCAAAGACATAGAAATAGATTACATGAATAGCCCTATGTGTTTTTAAGAAAACGAATCTTTAATTAAACTTTGTCCTGAAGAATAAACAAACAAACACAGGCCTGGATGCCCTTAAGTTTGTCTTCCAGATTATTGAGAAAGAAGTAACATCAACTTGAAAATATTTCCAATTAATGGAAACAGAAGGATACTTCCTAATTCTTTTTATGAAATCAGCAAACTTTTGCATCCACAGTTTGACAAAAATGCTTTTAAATAACAATTGTTGTGTATTCGTGCATTAGCGCTCTGAGGGGATAGCATGGAGGCCAAGTCTGAATTCCTCTGGCTACCTAAGGAGAACCCAGCTCCATAGCTGCCCCAGGATACTTCCCATGAGGCGGAGAACAGACACGCCTTCATGTTTGTCCCGTTATGACACCAACTGTCGTCACAATGGCCCTCAACTTCTCTGCTGGGTTGACAACCCATTGCACTGGCCACACAGACATTGCCTATGCTTATGAGAGTTTAATGGGGAAGTAAACAGGCTAGAAGTGAGAGTCAAAAATGCCAAGGATGCACTCCTTTTGTCGTCTTCTCGGCCATATGGGTAGGAACAACTCTCCCTGATCCTCAGCCTTGGCCTCCGCCCTGTCTGGGCAAAGTTACAAAGCCCCTTTAGTCTAATGAATGCCCTAAGGGACCTCACTCAGCCAGTCATTTTCCTGCCTGAAGTCACCCCACTTTACTCATCCTGTGTGCCTGCCGCTCTATCGCACGTCTCCGATAGACGTCTCTGGTGCCTTTGCTGCCCTACCACTTCTCTGTGAGGGATTCCGGATGTGTTCCGCTGTCTGGGCTCTTGCTTCTTGGTGCTTGTCAGATTCTCTGTTCTGTTCATTTCAGAGCCTGCTTCTGAAATGGCTCACTTCACACCCAGTGGAGTAACAAAACTGACTAATCTCAGAATTAGATCCTTCCACACCTAATCATCTGGTGGGAGTTACAAAGATAGAGTAGCTCTACCCAGTAATTTCACTGCACTATATGATCTCGTTAGAGAAGCCTGTTCACTGAAAAATCTTTTAAGACTATAAAGTACCCCTCATATAGCAGATCAGCTGTTATTTAACAGAACTATGTAGCCACCAATCATACCATTGCTTCTAGATTAGTGTTATGTTCTTAAATGAAATAGATATACTCCATTGAGGTAGAAATGATACTAAAATCATAAAGAAGTTTTTAAAAATTAGAACAATTTTACCTTGATATGACTTGGGAATATTCTATGTGAACAGAGGAGGCACTAGCTATAACTACAATTACAAGCCTGTAAATACAAGTTCGTGAACTTTTGTCTATTAACTGTACATGTTAAAACCAACATTTTACAATAATGTCATTTTTTCATTATTATAATGTAGCTATTCATATGGAACTTTTTACTGAAGTTTAAGAAAGCAATTATTTTAAAGTAAATACATATCATAGGTTATTTCTTTAAAAATTCTTTTAGAAGCATTGAGGGAGAGTCTTGGTCCTATTTACCAGAGCTGGGTGGGAACACGAATGATCCCAAACCCACCGCTAAGTATGTTCTGTCTCGTCAGGGAGCACAGGGAAGACATGCCTTGCTGGCCATGTCTCGTGGTTACTTTGTAGTTGACAAAGGATGATGCCGAACTTTCTGAAATTAATCCCGGCTGCCTAACATTTAAATTAGCACCAGGCGAATTAAAATGTAGCAAGTCATAAAATACAGAGATAGGATCATTTCTTTCCAGGAGATTATAGGCTAATAAAATTCCATATGGACAAAAGATGCTATAACACCATAAAATGATTAGTATGAGGTGATCTTTCTGAATCTCAATAGGTAGATGAAATTACTATTTATAGTATATCTGTGTGTGTGTGTGTGTGTGTGTGTGTGTGTGCAAGGCATAGCCAGATTCTTGGTGAAGTGTTGTGTAAGGATTGTCCACGTCTGAAATTTATTTGTATACATAAGCAAGTGTTTTTTTAGTATATAATAGGTGATTAAAAATAGGAAGCAATGAATAATATTAAAGTAGCACATGTTTATGCAGTATTTTTACTAATAATACATTGTTTGCTAATTATATAGTATAGTAATATCAGTATATAATTTACTAAAAGTATTTTTTCAACATTAAAATACTAATTTATATTTTCCCAATAATTCAGTGAGTTAATCAGGAAACACTGTATATACAAACTTGTGAATAGGCTACTCTTTGTTTAATATTTTTTCTACTTTTTGTTAACCACAGGGAGATGGGTAAACAATTTTATTAGAAAATGTTTTCCCTTTTCTTAATGTGCACTTAACCATTATATAAAACTCTCTTGTATACAAAAAAGAAAATATTTTCCCTCCATGAGAGAATGAGGGGTTGTCAAAGCTGTAAGATTCCGGAATGATGATTAAGTTATAGAGTCTTATATCATGTGTGTAAGCACATACATAAAGATCTGTTAGCTGCGAAGGCTAGTGTATTTAGAAGAATATTTCTGCAAAGGCAAGTTGAGACTCTGTCTCCACCCGCTTATTTTTCTCACACCATCCACTCAGTCTGATCCGGCTGTTGTGATTCAATGATATTGCAGGTGATGGTGCCTACACTCCCCAGTCCCCTAACAGGCCATGCAGATAACGAGCCACACTCTAATTCGTTTTTGCCCTGATTCTATTCTTTCTCAAAATTTCCACAGTGCCCTTGTTTTGACTGGTTCCATGGTGGCACAGTGGTTACTCCCTGGGCTGCTAACCGCAAGCTGGGCAGTTCAAAACTACCAACTGCTCCTCCGAAGAAAGCCGGGACTTTCTAATCCTGTAAAGAGTTACACTCTCAGAAAGTCTCATGGGCAGTTCTCCCCTCTCCTATGGGATCACTATGAGTCAGCGTTGACAAGGCATGAGTCAGCAGTTGGTTTGGTTTGATTTATTGTTTGCCACAATACAATATGCTAAATTACACTAATAATGATGTTCACATATAACTACAAACTATTCAAGACACCAGTGCACCTGAGAAAATCTCATCTTTAAAAGGAACTGAAGAGGTAATAGTTGCTCATTTAAAGACGTAGTTAAAGGAAGGAGAGCCTCAAACACTATGGAAGAAAAGCAAAGTTGTCCTGGCAATCCTTCATTCATCCTTCTTGGTCAACTCTTTCCACCATCTTTACTAATGAAGCTGCCTGAGCACACAACCTAATACGACCATGCGTTTGCCTGGAATTACTTACAGGTCCCCGTGGATGAGTCCATAGATCTGCGGCATGCTCTGACGATAGAGTCCCTTCAGGATGACGATGAGGAGGGCCACAACAAAAGCTGGAAGTCCCCAACTCAGGAGGAAAAACAGCAGATACCGCCGCTCGGTGTGCTCATCGTTCATCACCAGAACATACCAGAAATTCACGGACTAAGGGAGAAAATAAAGCATGAAACAAACGGGCTCTGGATTCATGGAACAAGAATTACTGATCAACAAAGGGCTAAAGTCTGCTTAATAAGTATAGTTTCACCTTGAGCTTTTAAGTTAGGTCCGTCATTTAATCTTTCATACACCCCATAAATTAAAGGTGCTCCACAAGTCTAGAAACATACAGGATATGTTTAGTTTATTTACAGTAGTTCTTATTGTACTTGGTTTTCTTTGATTTAATCCCAATTGTAATCATCTGCATTGTTTTGTTAATGTGTTTTGAGGCAACAATTTAACCTACTTAAATTAAACCTATTTAAACCTACGTCCCATGTGTACAAGTTCAAACCCACTAGCTGCTCCGTAGGGGAAAGATGAGACTGTGATCCCAGGAAGATTTTCTAAAACCTCCCAAACTTATGAAGGGTCCTTATAAGCCACTCTATGGCAGTGGGTGTGGCGCCAGGTCCTGTTTCCCGGGAGTAGGGATAGCCCCAGCACCAGCCCCCAGCGGGAGATAAGGGAGGGTAAAACAAAAAGTACTGGTACAAAATCGCAGACAACTTTATGAAATGAAAATAAAATAAAAAATCCAAAGTTGCAGTCTCTTGACATAACCTTTATCTAGGGCTACAAATTCCTAAGGCCAGTGCTTCCATCTCTCTGGTCCTATCCCAAAGAATTCCATGCCCTTTCATTTGTATCAAGTCAACAAGGCTGTGTCAGCATACCTGAGGAACTGAAATTGTGTTCCTTTTAACTGTTCTTTGAATTTTAGGAAGAAAAGGAAGTTCGGAAGGGAAGTTCGGAAGGGCAAGATCATGGCTGGAGGCTGGATGGGGTAAGGTTTCCCAGAAAAATTCCCCTAGGACTTGTTATTCTTTCAGCAGGAGTAAATACATTGTTGTGATGGGGGGAAAATTCCCTTGCACATGTTTCTGAATTTTGTCTTCATCAATGCAGTTTTCAACTTTTAGAAATAGTCTTCCTAATAAGCCGTCATGACCGTGTCCTTTGAGACAACATATGAAGATTATCTCTTTGGAATTGTTGCCACACTTGACCAACCTTCTGCCTTGAACGTAACTGGTCCGGCAGATTCCCTTGGAAGCCACTGCTTTGGAGACAGATCTATATCTCTTTCTCTAAATCTACATCTGTCTACTATCATCTATCTATCTATCTATCTATCTATCTATCTATCTATCTATCTATCTATCTATCTATCTAATCTTTGAAGGCACCCTATCAAGACTAAGACAAATGTATTTCTGACAGCCCTTGTCTGCAGCCATCTACTTTTCTAGACCTGTTTAAATGTGTTTTATCTGGAATAAATCCATGCATGTATAACCTGGAACACTGGGAACACTAATTTTTACTTGCCTAAATAGATCAGGGAACAGAAAATAATTATATGGAAGAGGTCTGGGATCTGGTAGATTTGGCCCATTTATTTTCTAGTTTATACAATTTCCTTTTGTTTTCTCACTTGACAGATATTTATTGAGAGCTTACTAACTTTCAGCATCCAGTCTATATTCTAGAGATATAGCAGTACAGCAGATGAGGGAAGAACTCTAGAATCTTCTTTTCCAAGCAAACAGAAAACCATTAAGGATGGTACTTACTATCTCTATGTTTATCTTATTTTATTAAGATAAAGTTCATAAAGGTTGAGAGAGTGAACATGGCGAGGCCTGGAAATGTTGTGATGAACCCTACATCCAATAGCTAACTGCACTTCAGTACATCTCCAAGTTGTATATTCCTCCTGAAGGGGGTCTCTTTCATGAAGGGTGCTGATGTTTCATTATCATTTCCCAAACTGAAAACTCACTATGATATAGTTCATAGATTCTTACTGACTATACCACAAAGCAAAACTATCCCGGAGGGTTTCTGAGGCTATAAATCTTTATGGGAGCAGGAAGCCTCATCTTTCTCCTGAGGAATGACATGGTTTTGAACCACTGACCTTCTGGTTAGCAGCCCAACACCTACCCGCTACACAACCAGGGCTCCTTAAAAACAGTGACTGTCATATGACACATACTTCACATAATAATAACTATTCTCTGTATGAATCCTCCTTCATCGAGAAGGGTGGGAAAAGTGCAAGTACAAAAGAATGACAATCAAATTATAATTAAGAATTACATATTATCTCTAAAAAAAAGAATTATATATTATAAGTTAACTTTGACCAACTAGTAACCCCGGCACAACCTCACTTTCCTCGGGTATTCAACGAGGATGTTATGAAGATTAAACGAGATACTGCATGTAAAATACTGCGCACAAAGTCAACACATGAAAATGTTTTCACATCCCATAAATCTGTTAGGCGCCAGGCAACGTGAAAGCCAAAAGAGAAATAGTTTAACATCAAAAGTAAGGATTGATACAAAGGAAGTACTTTCTGTGTGGAAAGTAAGCACGCCTAAGTTTTGGAGGAAAACTTTTAGTTGCTGTTTACTGAAACTTCTGAGTTAGATTTTGTCTTGACCAAATTGGCCTTGAGGGATTAATATTGGGCTAAACCAGGAAAGGATTAAAATATTTGGTTACTTGGAGATTGGTCTCTGAATTTTATTTCCTGTTGGCACGACATAGCGCAACTTGCATCTGCTGATAGGTACAATTCTGAAGCACACTTTGAATGGCTGCTTATGTAAATTTGTTCATTCGCCTTTCAAAAAATTATGTGATCCAAGATGTGTTTCCCCCAACTTTATAAAATCAATACAAGGATGTGGACCCAAGTAAATGAGAGTATATGAAATAAGAGTCTGATGCTCAGATCATTACAGCCAAAACCACCAGCCACTCTGGGAGAAAAAGGCTTTGTATTCCCATAAAGAGAAAGGTTTCCTTTTCCCACAAAAATGCAGTGTCAGCAACTCACAAGGGCCATTCTACACAGCCGCAAGGGATTGCTAGGTATCAGCATTGGCTCAATGGCAGTGAGTTTTTGCTTTGGGGGTCATGAAGAAAACTTCATGAAAGTAAGGCTCATTGATTTTCCCATCTCGACAGTGAAAGCATTTTTTTTAGTTCTATTTATTGTAGTTTCTGTACATAGATGTTTGGGTGGAACTGAATCTTAAGGTAAGCTCAGTGGTGCAGTTATTGGGGGACCCAGGATGGAGAATACAGGTTGGCAAATTGACTCATCATGAGAAAGATCAGCACATTTCCAAATGTGTGCTTGCACATAGATGGATGTAGGATACATCAGTTAGAATCACTGAACCTTTCAGCCACTGTCTGACCTTGGCCACAAGCTCAAATACGCGGGAGACAAGGGTTACAGATGGCTAGATTTGACATACAGTGATTGTGCTGCAAAGAGCTACAGGGAGCAGTGCTAAAACTCTTGAGTAAACGGTTAAACTCTAAATACTATGAACTTTTATCAAGTAATAAAAATCTGTCAGGCTTGGAAAGAACCCAAACATTAGCAAATACTTTGAGATTATTTCCTTTAAAATTATATAGCTTCTCCACCACGACAACCCCTGCTGCCCCCCCACCCCACCCCCACACAGAATAACACTATACCATGGGGGGTGGGGGGCAGAGGCATTTGATTATTTAAGAAAATTACCAACAGGGCCAAACATAAGGATTTTTTTCTGAGTAACTTAACCTTTACTTGACTTTTGAAACATTTAGAATAGGCTAGTGGGCACATTTGGGGGTATATGTTTAACCCCTGAGCTACCTTCTTGAAACCCTTCTCCCCCACACATGCAGTTGTCTGCTCCCTCAGTCACAAGTGAGTTCATTAGTGGGCAAAACCTAACACATTTTGAGTCCACCTCTATTGATGAATTCCTTGAAATGCAGGAGGGTGCGTCTCAGGCACCCTCAGAGGGCCATAGGCATCAGATAGCCACAGGCGTATGTGCTCTCAGGGTCGGGGCAGTCACGAGGACAGTGAAGAGGGAAAGTCTGCGGAGAAGAAAGGTGAACAGACCCAGCCTTCCATTCTTGCTCACGGTTCTTGGGCTCAATGACTAATCCTGTGTGTTTACATTGGAGTCCTTGCATGGTCTGTGCATGTACTTTAACTAGTCTAAGTTTCTCTTACTTATCCCCGACTGAAGGAATGAAATGTGCACTTCCAGTCCCTGCCACTCTCTAAACAAAAAGACAGTGGAGCATTTTGAAGATGTTGCATTCCCCGAAATCATGGCTGCTCCTTTGTAATCAAGAGGCATTGAAATGGAAGCACCCCCTTATGTTTGCATAATAATGGCCGGTTATTAGATAAATAGCATGTGTGCTCATTTGCTTTAGTGTCTGTGTGCTTATCCAAGGTTGGAACTAATACGATTATGAGAACTCAATACAAGTTAAAGGTGCTAAACTCACCCATGTAGTTTTGACGCTGGCTAGACACTCCGCACCATCACTCAATCTCGTTACACTGACTTGCTGAAGACTAAGTGTGAACTGGACACTTCAGAACCTGAGTCTCTCTGTTTCTACTTCTAGGCTTTAAAAATGCTACTATAAACATCTAATAAACCATCACAAGACCAGAAGTAAACACATAAAGATTTAGTCCTGTTATAATTTTAGCTCAAATGTTAATATTCTAAAAGTTAACAGCTTCTATTAATATGACTTGAGTTTTTCTCCCAACAATTCAAACATACTAAAAATAAATGACTTTTTCACTTTTACCTTCCAACTGTTATGACACAGACACTGAAGGCAAGTCCAAAAAGATCTCAGTAATATTTTAAGCAGGAGAAACCATGAAATAAACTACTTCAAAACGGATAACAAAGTGAAATGTTTTCCACTATGTTTAAAAATCAGTGCAATTACTCTATTGCCACACCATTGATATCAATTCTAACCCACTGGTATATCTGAACTAGCACTTTGCATTATCCTGTCACATTCTTGCTTGTCCGTGAAGGACTGTGGATTTGAATTTGCATACTTATCACAATTATCAACCTCGTGTTGGTTGCGTAACT